CACAATCCGTTTATATGTTAAACTGTTAATTTTAGACGGCGATATAAACATCACTTAGGCACTTCTAGAATACGACGAGGCTTTTGCTCTTAAAGATTCAGCATTAGAAAGTGGCAAATCTTTTTTGGCGCAAGATATTTCTTTGATTTCGCTTTTCCTTGCCATGTTTTGATGAAAGTTTTCTATTGGACCAATCATATGGACAGTATACATATTTTTGGAACCACTAGACGTTAACATTCGTGGTTTGCAAGTCCTTGCATATCACCTGTTATTTAAGAATTTATCGTTTATTCTTTACCGGGCTTTTGAGGAAAGTGCAGATTGCAGCTTAAAGGGCGTTTAGTGAGTATTTTAAGATCATTATGAATATGGTTGAAATATACATTTATTTTATCAGATACTTAACATCCATTTCATTCATATCCTAACTGTTGTATATTTTACGGTAATATCTTCCAAACCAGAATCCATGCACGGAAGCAAAGTAAAAATGCCATACAATACATAATCTAACAAATATACTACGTGACTGACAGGTTGTTAAATCTGGCGTAGCCAATATCACGCAATCATAAAAACGTGGTTAGAGATTTTTATGGACTGTCATTGTATTGAGGAAACTAGTTCGAGATGGTTTATCCACCTATTTCATATGTATACAGTTATCTAGTTTTTCTTGTTTTGCAGAAAACTCATTAAAATACTTTGTGTTTGGAATTAAATGTTGTACTGAACATATGGTTCTAAACAAAGCCATGAATAATAAAAAGATCGATCATTTGATCTGTTATTCAGAAAGTGAAATGTACTGGATTTCGGACATACGGAACAGCAGTATGGGAAATAGGTACGTAAAATATGGATGCCTCCTGTGCAAACCCTCCGGCTACCTTGGTCTTTGTGAACCGTAAATGCATAATTCCTCGAGTACTTACTACTGACTAGTATTTACATCTTGTATCCTATTATGGCATTGGATTATGGGTGAAAGAGTTAAAACAGTAATTATTTAAATGTTGATTTTACCTGATAGCGATAAGTTAACAGAAACAAACAGAAGAGGTTAGAAACGTAGCTATAGAATCAAAGGAGTGGAAAGAGGATAACAGATAAATAAGTAATGAAAATATACAGAACATTGTGGACAAAGAAAATCCACGAAGATCAGATTCCTAGTAAAAAAATGGGTAGTCACAACGGAGAGCCTCTCCAATGACATAAAATCCTTCCAGAATTACCATACAGATCGGTATGCTGAGTACGTAGTACATAAATATATCTGCAACGTTTGATTCTAATGGTTTTTTAACAAGTGCCCGATTTCAGTGTGTAGCTTATTCTTATATAGGACCGATTTCTCAAGTATTTGTACCTACTGTAAAAATATTTCTATTTATATAGTTCAGTCATCAACAACACATCATCATTCCTTAAAATGTAGGTTTGTTTTACCTGACACCTCTGTCGAAGTTTTTTCACTTTTGACCTGAGAATAGTCTTCACTATTCATTTCACTCGCGACTTCGCATTTCATAGGGAATCATATTTTTCAAGGTACTTGCAGATTTAGTTGGCATTGTGTTCTGGATTGCTGCTTTCTGAACTGCTTAAATTGATCTATTATTTGGCGGTAAAGAAACATTCCCAGACTATTGAAAGTGTCTTTCGTGCTTGAACAGTTTATGCTTTGTAAAGATTTACTTGGAATTTTTACAGCACAAGGTTTCCATAGAAGTTGCCATTGCTTGCTTTCGACAGATAGGAATTTTTGATGGTTCGCAGGTTGAATTGTCTTTAGTTTGCAAGCGACGTATTTCTTTTCAATAAGGAACTTGTTCTAACATCTCTGGCTTATTTTTGTGATGTTGGTTAGATTTAGGAGCGCAGACTATCGTTGAACAACTAACTGAGTTATTGAGCATGGGTATTTTAAATCCATAAGTACTGATTTAATACCGGTGCCTCTTCTTGAGCATAAGCTAACGATCGGAAATCTAAGACATTGTATATCTGGAATTTTCTTTCTCATGTGCAAAAAATGATTTTTGGTGTTATATATATATATATATATATATATATATATATATATATATATATAAGAAGCATATAATGTCCTAAATTCTTTTGAGTGGATCAATGTTTTGTTTTCTTGTTCTGAAAATTTCACAATTCCGAACTCTTGCATATCCTTACCATCTCTAAGCTACATATAATCTGACCAGTGTTTTATAACTCATACCATAAGTTATCTTCATAGTAGTGTGATATACTAAATTGAGGTCTGTTAGGATATTCACAGGAATATCCCAAAAATTATCTCGAATGTAAATTGGCATGTTTTCAGTCTCTTCACATATTTTACATGTTATTTCTTATTTGCCACCATTACAGTTGTCCTAACTATGACTTCCATGTGTCGTTTCCCTATTGGTCAATTTTGAGTTGTCCTAATTATAACCTTTACGTGTCCTTCCTTTAACAGTATTGGGGTCGAACCAGGATATCTGAATTTGTTCAACCGGTAGAATTTCGTGTAGTCTTATCGCAATACGTAATATTTGGGCGAATTTATGTTAAGGTTTAACCCACAATACGAAATCTTGAGCCTTCTAATTTTGCTTCTAACATGGAGCCATTAAAGACAGTGCATCGCAACCAGAAGCTTAGGTGAAAGCAATATTCATTCACACTACGAACTTAAGAGAGCCTAACATCACAAAGGAGGGCGTGTGTGTTATATCGATTGAATGCGTGCCTTGTTAATATATGAACGTGCTGATTCCCGCCAATCAGAGAGGAGTGAATTATTGATGATACATAAAAGCCGTATGAGCAGTTTTGAGTACTTACCAGTCCCGCTTTCTGCCTATCCCAGTCAGTTGTTTCCAGTACACCAATAACAGCCTCTACAATATGAATAATTATTCTCAAACATACTGGGTGTATATACCAAACAAACTGACCACATTGTAACACACAATAGAAAATAACACTTGCACAAGATTCAGCCAAATGTGGCTATGAATAGGGGGATCAGTAATTAATGAACCAGGGATAACTGAAGAATCGTAAATCGTATAATAACAGTCTATGGGTCAAAATAAAGCTTATAAAAAGAGGGATGCTGATATGAATAGCTTAGTCACTTAACAATTATACAATAGGAAATATGCATATCATATAGATCCATGAATAGTTCTCAAAGTTACCATTCATAAATTTCCATGGTATATAACAGGGTGGCTTTACTGACCAGCAGACATGATGGTGGTGAGATAACTTCAATCCACCCATGCCTGTAGGGCAGGACATTTTGTATAACTTGTATATCAAAATACTGTTTTTCAGTAAGATATTTTAAAACCACACATAATCCTTTACTTTCAGCTTCTTTTCGAACCGCCTCAGTTTATACAGTTCTTTCTACATTCAAACCACATTCAAGCTTGTTTTCTTTGACCTATTAGAATGCTCTTGCTTAGAAAGTACCTAAATAAAAGAGAATTAGACTAAGTAGTCATACCTTAAATATTCCTCCACAATTGACTAAACTTCAGTATTCATGGACATTATCTGCTCTGCTCCTCATCCTCACTTTTTCTTACACTCCTCAGCCCCCTTGAGATACGCCAATTAGAACACATATGAGACGGGCTACTTTATCCTGAGCCAGCATTAATACATCGGGAGTTCTGGAGGGTTATATGATTGTCGTTCCTAGAAGTTATTAACTTGACGTGTATTTACTCCCGACCATTAGTTGTATGTTGCAACGCAACCTCCATAAAGCGCGCAAAATGTCATATTTTTAATATGGGTCTTATTAATATTATCTGCATCTTTATGTGAGAAGTGTTATTCTCCATAACTCTATGACCACTGTCCTTATAAAATATCAACCTGAGTAACCTAATACAATGAATACCTTATCTACTGTAACAATTCGATCTTGCCTGTAAACTGGCACGCCTCATGTAACAGACGGTTATTTGAGAACAAATTATTATCATTAATCGGTCTAGGTTTGATGCTCACTGGACTGACTCAATCCTGTCATTCCGTTGAAAAATATCGATGCACGTATTGAAAATCAAATGTACCATCCATAGCCTCAAATCCAAACGCGTTACTCACTCAAATACTAAATACGAACTTGCATTGATGCTTATAATAAGTATGAGGCTTTCTCCCCTGCTTTACATTCTCCAGGTATTTTTGTAAGTATTCCAAAGATGTCACAAGCATCCAGAGTTTGACAATGCCTTTATCAGCAACAACTTTAAAGTCGAATGATATCAACCTAGTCTAATCAAAAGTCAGAGGTGAAGAGATTTGAAGTTATATTTGAAAGACCATCGATTTATCCAGAAGCCTTTGATATGAGCTGGCTAGTGGTTGTAGGAAATGCGTAGCAGGCATGTCTAATCGGGATTTTTTTTACCGCCACACAAACCAAGCAAATGTTCGGTGCGACTGATGTTGAACTTAAATAAAAGAATGAACACAAACAGGGGATTAGATAGAATTTCGCTTGGTTAGCTCGATTGCAGATTATCTGATGTAGTCTCCGGTTTCAGATTTTCAACAAAATATCAAATTACTCTAGGCCTGATATTTATCTGTTGATTCAAGATTCTTATCATAAAGCTGTCACTGTTAAGATTATCTATATATTCTACGAATCAGTGAATGAAATTTTCCTCAAAAAGATAGTTTAATATAACTCCATGAACAATCTGTGAACGCCTAGAAACACCGTGGGAACTAAAAATTGAATTCTTCTTTCGACCATTTACTGACAAAAGACTGCTCATATTTTATAAACAAATAAAAACACAATGAATGTACACCACACGTCTTTATCAAGAATGCAGACTGCTTATTTTACCTGAGTTTTCTTTTTCAGATCTTTTGTTTTTACCAACCACAGTTCAACTACTGTCCGATACTCTTGTAGCGGTAATCTGAAAAGGGCATTAGTTTGTCGCCATACGGAAATGAAGAAAGCTGTTCAACAGAGTCGTTTCACCAGATTTAAGAGAACTCTCTATAATCCAGAAAAACATGAAATTTTGGGAAGGACTTGCAGAGACTGGGGTTGGTAATCGGTCTTTGTATTATAAAATGCTTCAGTTTTGATTTTCATATTTTACGTCGTGGCATATACGTTCTTGGCTTTATTCTTTGTCGGAATGCTATCAGTTTTTCTGTATGGCTACGTCAGTAAAACAGTTCCAACTTTGACTGGGGAACAAAGCATCTTAAGGTTTCAGCCAGGTTCGTGAATTATTAATTTTTTCCTAAATACCAGACCTGTGATTGTAATATGATTCATATCGCTATCGCTACTAAAAAAATTAGTGTTCACTAGATCAGTTGTGCTTTGCAAAAGGTTCAATCCGTTAAAGCATCTAAACATTCACCATTATTTACATAGTACTAAATGGGTTTCAATATTTTATTTTACTCAAGAATACGAGAGGAGGTACTTTTCAGCGGTTCTCTACACCTATTCAAAGCTTTCTCTGTTATTTTGGAACGAGATTAAGCATATGAACAACAGTTACAGTTTGCTTTACTTTTTAAATGTAACACTGAATTTGGCTGATCATAGATAACTCAGAATTATTGGTGTTTAGTTTATGACGCTGACAATGGCAGGTGCCAGATAATATGATGCTCCAACAATCAGATATACCAGTTGTACTTATGTCACTTTATATCTTTAAAGCATCAAACTATTACTTTTCCTATCATCCCATTTAACGTCACGATATTAGTGGAAGGCAATTTTTAATATTCCTAGTATTTCCGGTCCATCTCAGAAACTTTTTTATCCTAAACCTAAAACTCATACAAGACAAGAAACGCATTTTAAAATAGAATAAGTTATTCAAGTTTCGACCAGACTAAACGATGAAACTTTCCCGAAACTCTGAATGAACAAATAACATCTCTAGGCCGTGCTTGAAACATCAATTGAAGATTTCCATGTCAAATTATTTTGGAATGTTAAATACTTCAACTCGCTAGCCAAAGTAGTAATTTATTTAAAAGAATGCATTAAAATCTTGTTACTTTTAGTACTAATGTTGGGAAACACTAAGGAGATCAAAGATGTACAGTGACATATTTTTATTCTTATCTGTTTTCCATGCGTAAGAATATAGCAAATGCAGATATCCTGCTATGCTTTGAATACGTATAACTACTGAGTGGTGGCTCAAGATACTTTAAGGTCATAGTTATTTGTGTCAGTTAGTATGAAAAACGTAATAATATTATGTAAAATGATATGTTGTGACCTCCAACTAACAGGCAATATCGATTCCTGAAATCGTGTATATTTATTCCCATTGTTAGTGCATGGCTTTGTCAGGGTGGAGATGTCGGATAAAAGCTTCTTCAAGGAGAAAAATTTATTTCCTTAGCATACACTAGTCAGTTAGTGTATGGTAAATAACATAATTTTTAGGTCGAACAATGAGAAGTTTGCAGCTAGTTTTTCACGTGTTATATTCTATTTAATATTTGCTTACGTCTCATGTGAACACTATAACTTGATATAAAAGCCGCCAAATATTTGTCAGAATAATTTTTACTTTACTTGTGACTATATTCATAAGCTTTGGGTTTTATGTTACTTTATTATTATACGCTTTTACATTATGATCCTAAAACTGCACAAAAGTAGGCATTTATATATTTTTTGCCACTTCAGAAGGCATCTTTAGCTGGTGTATTTAGAGCAAATAGTAGTGTTCACTGCATCATATGGTATGGAAACCATAACATATGTACGAAATGTGTTTAATCAGCTAAAAATTAGTCAGCTTTTGGAGACAAGTAAAGACTCTGAATCTGCATGGAGGTAATAACAGTCAGTGATGAGTGCGGTAATGCACGAAGTAATTAATGTTACATGAAAGCAACATAGAGTTCTATACCATGATAGTACATGATAATCGCTATCAACAGATGTGTATAAGTAACTAGGGCAATTCTGCAGCAGATGTGATGAACAAAATAGCTGACAATACATGAAATATGATGGAACATCAGTTGATCAAGTGGCTATTTCAAAGTTCTTAGTTTAGTACTTCAAGTCAAGCATTATAATTATACAATGCGAAAGAAATCACCATAGTAGCCTTCTGAAAGGAAATAAACAATACAAAAATTAATTAGATTGTGAATACAATAGTAATGCAACAGTTTGGTTCACTGATATCATTTGATTATTTATAAGACATACACACTTTCAGACAGAGAAAATGTGTGAAAGATTGTACTTTCTTCAAAACCTCCGTTGCACAGTAAACATAACCCTGCCTAATACTAACGCTCTGATAAAAGACTCTTTACAAAACATGCTTTTCAGCCCTCTTAATAATTATTTAAATCTCGGAACAGGAAAAACCAAAAATCCATGTAAATATTTTCAGGCACTACTAACATTCGTATATCCTGAAACTCAAAATATCTTGGTTATTTCTCCGCTTGGAAGTGCTTTATCCCATAATATGTGTTCCAAGTAAGATAAGTTTAAAGATCTGTACTTCTTTGCAAGGATGTGGACTCTAGTTTTCAGACATGTTGTTCTAACAGAGGAAAAGAGAAATTATCAATCATATGATTTTAATTTGATACCATAACGCTTGGTAATTATTCATGAGGTTTGAGATTGCTACTCATAGCTGTTTTTGCAACATATCCAATAAATACACCATTAGCACTACTGGCAGTTTTAAAGACGCCACATAACTTGGTATTTCCTGTTTTCCAAAAGTTCAGGAAAGTATAATGAAGGGCAATATGGGATAAGAGATAACTGATAAAAATTTGAAGATTTAAAAGCAAATACCGGGTGCTGCCAAAAACATGTCAAGTTTTTGTACAGCATATTGAGAGAAGAACATCCATTAGTATTAACGAAATATAAGAAAACTAGGAAATATTAGGATAGAAATGTACATCAAGATAGGTGATATTCGACATAGCTTTTTAGTAACATTGTTAGCAGTGTGTATCTCATGAAACTATAGTGTTGTGTTCTGCTTCTTAATGTAAAGGTGGTGGTTTAAAGACTGAGACGATTGAGTGTAAGACCATTCAAAACAGACCATCATTTAACGTACACTAGGGGCTCATTAATTTCAACCCAGTCAGAAGAGGGAAACTATGGTTCATGAACCAATAATATACAAATAATTTGGGAAAGTGAATTTGGTAGAAGGAAATGTGATTTTCATGAGGATAAAATAAGGAAACGACATACTCCTAAGCCATATTGACCCTGATAAGCAGATGACAGAACATTTTCCTACATAAAAGTTTGTCTGTTTACTTTCTAAATATTAAAACAGCTCCATGTCGTTAATATATCTTAGTGTTCCAGACGACTCAAGCTTTTGTAGTATAGGTCTAGAAACAAAACCTAACTTAGAAAATGACATTAACCATATCTTCCGTCTTTTCCTTAACTGTTGCACCCTAATTTGATGCAACATAACTACAACATCCTTATTAATCGTTTAGAAGTTGATTTGGATCATTATAATTTCTCACTGGGACCTAAGTAAGAATGAGTGTAGTTTCCTTATGACTGTTATAATTTTGATCATTTAAAATTCACCATCATTACATTAGACACTCTTTTTGTTATTGGAGCAAATTTACTTCTCTTTTATATAAATGATGAAAGATCTATTGAAGAAGATTTTTAAGGATTTTCTACATTTGTTAACGTGGAATATCAGAACATTTAAAGGCAAAGGAGTTTAAAACATGGTCGATTTCGGAAGGTTGTGACGGGTATAGTGATATTAAACAATTAAAAACATCATTTTTAGTAAGCCTTAAGCCACATTGTTTCGTTTCCTTAGACGATGAGAAAAGAAACATTAACATAGGATTATGACCTGCACAAGATGTGCTTAAACAAATAGGCTTCAGAATGCATGTAAACACCAGTCTTTTGTATGACTGTAAGTTATTTAAATAACCTTCACATATATAAAAATTGATACAGGATAAGAGTTTTCTACGTCTACAATGTTTTTTAATGGATTATTTGTAAGTGAATTTCATTATATGGTTCGAAAAATATTTTCCAGATTCAAAATCTTGTATTTTCAATAGTTCACAAATCTTACTTTTCCCATCCGATAAAACAATTAAGCACATCTAAGCTTACCATAATAATTAGATAGGATTTAGATAAGCAGTTAAATAGTCCTAACCAAACGCTGAACTATATCCAATCCAGCTGGAATACAGAAACGTATAAAATGTGGTCCAAGAAGATTTGTACAAAATAATCAATAAAAGTGAGACACAAAATGTATTTATGTATTTAAGTTGGTTTCGGCATAAACGAAGTATCTTTTGCGAATTAAAGAGACAAGTAAAATTTGTCTTAAGCAGGGACGGACTTAATTGCAGTATCAAGGCAATCCGCACAAAATCCACATATGCCAAAAGAGAGTAGTCAGTTGCAGTCCTAAAAAATAATAAAAAGATTCAAACAATTAATATATATAGAATCAAATGTGTGTTGGCAGTTGCCGTTCTCTTTTTAAACCGTTAAAAAATGCCTCAGCATAAGGCCTAAATGTTTTAAATTGTTCCCATCAATCGGTGATTATTCATATGGATTTTCAGGATGAAAGAAATTACCAAGTGTTTGAAAGTGTTTCCAATAATACTAATTTCGCTCACAACGTCAAGTATATTTCCTTATGGAACTAATAACTTCATAGTGTGCCTTTCTTTTTTTCACTGAAAGCTAGATGCGTGGTATATTAATAATGAGTTTTTAGTTTAAGGGGTTTGGCGTTGAAGAATTATTCTTGTAGTTGTTAAGCCAGGTTTTAACTAAGCTAATGCTCTGGTACGGCCGAGAGTGGGGAGAGTCACCTCTCCCTTTCGAAATGCTCTCATATGGCCAGCGAATATATAGCCTCTGCCACGGAAGTCCTACTCACTGCCTTCTCTCACCAGGGTGTTATTTACGAAAGTGAGAGGACGAAAAGCGAATGTCCGGCGCTTTAACCGGGTTGGTGGATGTGGAGTGTCCACCTGGGGGAGTTGGAAAACCCTGATTCCAAACCAATGGTGCACATGAGCTCCAGTATCCTGAGGGAACAAATGGCGTACGAATCAATCATTGATCACCGGCTACCATGGGACTGCATCTCCTCACGATGCTCCACTGCCTTGTGGACTGGACCTTCAAGCCAAAGGCTCTGGGTGTGGCCCCCTAAGAAAACCACCTACTTCAGTTTGGGCACCTGGGCAGTATCATAACCCTCACACAAATCAAATGAGATTTGTGAGGCGCATATTTATCTGGTGCTTCCTTTTACCCATATTTATGTGTTTAAATAAAATAAAAAAATGCATAAATTGCTTTGTATCTTTAAAGAAGTGCTGATGTATTTCTGTGTATAGTTCACTTAAGGATAGCTATATTATATCTCATTACTTTTGTAATGGACGTTTCAGACGATTTTAGAAAGCTTCTTATTTAAACATTTGATAAATCACACAAAGCTTTAAATGCTGAGGATTCATAATGGTTGAACAAGATATGATTGAGGATGACATCATAGTTTTTCCTTTTATCGACTTTTGCTAGTCTCTCACAATGAATAAATGACATTTTTGGCAAACTCACGTTATCATTAAACTAAAAAGAAAACAATATATCCTTCGGTCCACTTTTTCAGTTTCGGTTTCATGTTCATGTTTATGACGATAGATTTTATAGCTTAAAAATCAATTTGTACATGCTAAGTTTATGTATTAAGCTGTTAGCATTTCCAAATAAAACCCATAAGCTGTCAGGAATGGCCAGATTTCCTAGTACATCGTTTAAAATGAAAACAAATCAAACTTCAAATAATTTGAAGTAACTTAACTAAATTATGCAAAGGAAGCTCAATCTAACGTTACGTTTGAAGATATCACTAACTTGTCAGACACTATAATTAAAGGATAACTAGTTCGAATTTCATCTCATTTTTCGGCGTCATTTTTCTTTTGTCTAGGAATAGAACTTGCTGCGAGACCAAATTCTTTTAATACGTTTATCCATGTTGCAACTTTCCAATCTACGATCAACCAACCATATATTAATAAAGTGGATGAACTGTTTAGTAAATATGGCTCGAAAGGTGTAAATGAAGAGTGCAGTGGACCAGGTTTACATCCACAGAATCCAGATATCCCCTGTAGCTTCGATCTCAGTGTTTTGGGTGAATGTCAATCAACTGAGAAAACTATATTGGAGGGAAAACTATGTCTTTATTTGAAAATAAATAGAGTATGTTTAGATGTCCTTCATGTATTTCATAGATATATCAAATTTCATATTCTAGTTAGGTATTCTTACCCATAAATGGCGTGATGTGTGATTTATCCGTCGTTGGTATTCATAAATTCTAAACTATTTCTAGTCAGAAAGAGAAAGTATAGACTGTTTTGATTGGTTAGATATACCTAGTTTACTAAACTTTGATATGAATAACCAACATATTCTTTTTTGTCATCCATTAAAAAAGATTCATTAAGGTTGAGGAAATAATCTTTAACCAAGTACCTTTAAATCATAGCCAACAATCTCTCTGTATATTAGGTAGACCAATTTAACGTGCTTTTCAGTCACACTCTACTTAGCAAAGATGTCTTTGTACAATTCTGTTTATACATTAGATCTACGGTTGGTTACCTGATTTGGAAGATCCTAAATCAATTCCATCACCTGCTATCGAATGTGGAGGTACAGTAAGTGATGCTAACTTTATCTACACATTTCCTTAATATGTCCCATCTATTAAATGAATATTAAAATGTACTGGTAATAATATGAGCATACTGCATGTAAAGTAGTTGAAATAGGAATAATTTATACGGAATTCTTATAGTTATTTTTATATTCGTAATACATTATTACAACTTCTAAGCAGAATTCTGGGTACTGATGGTTTACAGTATATATATATAGCAATAATGGTTCTTCATTACAATTGCCATCTTAATACTGCTACTTATAAAATATCATCCTCCAACAATATCTGATGCTCGAATTAGCTAAAGACAGGTTCCAGTTAACAGGCTTAATAAATCTATGCATAACTGACTGCAAAGATTATTAAATTTATAATGTATGTAAAGAAGTGAAAAATTTTCTACAGTTTTTGATCCATGTCATTGAAAACTCATTATCTCTCTCTTAGCAATAATAATAGATAAAAGTACCTAATTCATGAACTTATCCTAGAATTTATTAAAAAGAACAAAGTATAAAGCTTTAAAACGCGAAATGTGTACTCACATTAAGCAGGGTAACCAAAGTTTATGACCATTTTCAAGGATTTCAATTTCATTGTGTCAGAGCATGAGAGTGAAACGCAAAACGAATTATCACCAGACACCTGATATTCAGATTTATACTGGTCATGTGTTTTGTATCAGCATGAATGATGGTTACTGGAAAGAGTACTTGGATTTGTTAATGTGAATAATTTGGCCCGCTTTGAACCGATTTAGAAAATAGAATAAAACAAGATAAATATATTATGCCTCAGTACTTCTAACAGATTGGAATTTTTAATCGATAAGTTTTAATCTGGTTGCTTTGATTAGTGTATGTTTAATGAAAATAAGGCATCTTTATTATTTGGCGATAATTACGAGATTTCGTTCATTATCTCATTTGATCTTAAGTTCAGATATGATATTTTATGCTCTAAAGTGTTATAATATTACCTGCAGATAATTTGTGCTGTATAACAAACAAAATATATCCGTGTAATATTGTTCACTCACCGAGATCCTACCAGGATTATTTGTCATTCTAAGTTATGCCGAGAAGAATCTTATTCCCAGAAGACAAATGTAATCTATTGCTAATTATATGTTTATGAAACTTAAAAAAGGTTATAACAGTTTTAGAGCTGAATTCTTTTATCACATAGATAACTTCTCAAGAAAAGTATATACTTAAAATTTCACATAACATTGAATTTGGTTAGAAAACCATTGAAAACTAGGAAGTACAAACAAAGCTATTTCATCCTGGAATATGATGTTTCTGCAGTGAGCATTGACGACCCCACCAAGGATCATCCGCAAAACCTTTAAGTGTCACGTTGAGCCCCTAATCTTTAAGCTACGGAATTTCCATATTATGGTTTACATTTCTGAATTCAGTTGATTCGGGATGTTACACAATCATCATCCATTTTCATTGATGAAACTTGTCTCGGTTTCAGTATATCTAAATTCCACTGGCCGTAGCTCTTCACCACAAATCCGGGAATTATTTCTTAATGTTGTTCATCAAGAAAAATAGATGGTTGATTAATGCTTAATCTGAAGATCCTTGATTCGACCCCTTGTGAAATTTACGAGTGTGTACTGTTCTTGTTATATCCCCTGGTGAATTATGAATGGTAACTCCAAGGACTATTTATCGACCAATGTATTATGCGTATTTCCTATTATACAATTGTTACGTAACTAAACGATTCATATTTGTGTTTCTCTTATCATGAGCTTTATTTTGATCTTTGATTTATTATCATACGATTCTTGAGTTATACTCAGTTATTGATTACTTTGGTTTGTATAAAAACCCATTATGTTTGTAAATAATGATCCATATTGCCGAGGCTGTTATTTGTGTTCTGGACTCAACTGGCTGGGTTAGGCAGATCGCAGGATCGGTTAGCACTCTAGGCTGCTCGTACGGGTTTCGTGTCACTGTTCCAATCGAGAATTCGCTCTCCCTAATTGGCGGTCTCATCAAGTCACACATCAACTACCCATCCACTCGGCCACAAGATATAACAGTTCTGAAGTGTTATTATGGGAGGAAATAGATGTTCAGTTCCTCCTGGTTTTCAGTGGTTATTTAACTGTAGTCAGTTAGTGATATGAAAATTAAGATTTAACAATCTTCACAATACCCAGTCTAGAAAAGACAAGCTCGCTAATTGAACGTGTTCTTATTATTCACTGAGAGAAAATGTAATTGACTAAATGAGTGATTTGACTTAAACGAAGTTTTGAGCCTTTGAGCAACTGTAATGAACGAGAACTTGGAAAGAACAGACCAAAATCGAATTCCCCATTTCGAAAATAAGAAAACAATACATTAATTACAATATTTGCACATCTTCCTTAAGTCATCCCATACGGAATCCATTGTTCTTCCATTTCTGTTATTATTTCAATGGCTTTCTGATCTCTTCCCTTTTCTGTTTATTCTCTTCTTCTGTCCGTAAGAATTCTACTTTCAATGCCTGATACATACTACTTATACCTGTCTGTACAAATGGCACATACCACATAAATAATACAGTTAAAAGTCAATCAAATTATGTTTAAATCATATTAAACAATCGTTTTGACAGCATACATAGTGTTATGTTGTAAGTGATAGAATAGATAAATGAAGCGGTGATGAGGATAGTATCTGATACCATTATTCATAGTTCGTTTTAATGTTAGTTGGCGAAAAACTTCCGATGTTCAAACAAGATATCATTGTCGTGACTTACTGAGAGATATTATTCAATCTGAAGATATTTCAGAATCACAGAACAAAATGCAATACAAAACAACCATTTTTAGAGAGACGTTAATAAAACTGGCAAATAAGTGGAAAACCGATGTATATGTGAATGATTGTAAATGTAATTCAATAAAGTGTTGTAAACAAAAGTAATATAACTTCTGTTCAAAATAATATTTTACTGGTTTTCAAGTCACAAAACCCATTGTACTGAATATGGAAGAAATAATTTTCCTAAAAATAGAGTTTGTCATCATCCCAAGTGAAAAATTATTGAAAATATTTACCTATGGACCTACTTTAAAAACCAATACTACTCATATCTTTCATAGTTTGTAGTAAAAAGAATGAAACATTCTATACAAATATTATTATTCTTACAAGATTAGTCTGTAGTTCAATGCAGTAATCTAGGTAAGAAATAGTCTGTTTCATCATCATAGAGAAGATATGACATCATTTCAGTACAGCGATTTATTTGTAGTGTAAAACAATGTGAACCAGTTTCTCCATCATTTATTCAAAGTTGCCTTTACAGGGAAATCGAGTTGTCAGTGATGAACCAAATGAAGGCACCCTTGGGGTGTATGAATACTCAGATTAATGTTTGTGTTCACAGTTGTAGACTTTGATTATTACTACGTAACAGTGACTGATTGACATATATTACCGAGTGTATACATAGACAATCCAGTGGATATCTGTAACGGTCCACGAAATGTTTTGCTTACTTGTGAGTAACCTAGAGAAAAGTAGGTCTGAATCGACAAAGACGACTTTATTCATAGCGAATAAATCAATCTTATGGTTGAAAGCTAATTGAAGAGCTTTGAAAAAATTAATAAATCGTATAAATACGATGTACGTACTAAGTATTATCACTTTTTCCTAACAATAGGTCAATAGCTTAAACCGACAGTAAGCTTACTGACTAACGAAGAGAATAAAAGTTTCAAAAGATAAAGAATTTAAAAAATCACCCTTGTTCAGAAGTTTGCTTTAACGACACCACTAATAATATTTAAAAAAGATAATATATTTCAGTTTAGTTCCATATTACAAAGCGTTTTTGTTGATTTGCTTATGTTACTGTTTTAGAATGAATTCGATAAAGAATTCCTTGGTATTGTTAGATACTTTCCGGAACACACAGCACCCAATGGGAAAAAATAGTAAGTGTTTATGTATTATTAATTTAAATCGCATATAATTATAATTGCTTTTAAAATTCAGTCTTTCAAATCATAAGTGAAGTTATTAGTGTATTTCTGTAATTAATGAGACAATATGAGGAGAACATTTAAGTGTAGATTAGTATGTATGTTCTGACTAATGTCACTAACCCAGTCGAAGAAAACTAATTAATGTGAGCTATACCTGCATGTAGAAAGCATGGAATTAAGTCAGAAATATAAACCACTAGGTTTCACTCAGCGGTGTGGAGAATCTAGGGTTTTGGGTTTGATTTCCAATGAGCTCAGAGATTAATACTTCTGATAAGTTTTATAGTAGAAAGAAACAGCTGTCCAGTGCTCTCAGCTTTTCCAGTTGTCTAACAGAGATTAGCTCATAATCTCAGTATATTTCAACAATCTTCCCAAACTTCATACTACTTATTAAAAAATTTATTTAAAAGATGCCAAAAGTATCAGATAAATAACTTGTTGAACAAGTATATATTACTCGAAATAAACATAGAAACGGATGAATGCAGTAGTTTGATTTCAATCAAAATTCAATAAATATGTGATATTACTTCTGTTTAAATACAAAGTCATGGATACAATTAAATAATCTTAGATTTACGCTTTATTGTTTGCCAATAATTTTCATGACCACTTGATCGATAGCATTCGATCAGCACTAAGAAGGACTTGACACACATGAAATTGATCACCACTCAGTGATCAATCAATTGTGATTACATCTCAGTCCTACAGGGGGTCGGTCGCGGCCCGAATAGCTCAGTGGTAACGTCTCTGACTGTGAAGCTGAGTGACACGGGATCGAATCCGTCAGGGAGCACCAGTTCCCTCAAGATTACAGGTACACCTTGCTGACGAGTGCCAAGTAGCACGAAACCCGGGTTCAGGGTTTCCTGTTGACCACCTCCAACCACCATCTTACCTCAATATATAGTGCACGCAGTGTCGAGCCACCTAGACTAGTTGCCACATTGCAACTTGATCGATAGCATTCGATCAGCACTAAGAAGGACTTGACACACATGATCACCACCCAGTGATCAGTCAATTGTGTTTATTTGAAATTCATGAGAATCCTACTATGTTTGACAGGATATACAGTTGTTTTTCCTGATATTATCAAACAATGGTACAACCAGCTTGTTTGATCTTAGTTAAAAAGTGATATTTGTGCATACTTCACTTTGATTACTTACTTTTATTCAACATATCTATAGGATAAAATATAACTCACCTTTGATATGTATCAACTCGAAACCAATTTGTTTCATTTAACTGAAATTATCATCGATTTGTTTTTAATTCTATTCCAATCTGAAATGTGCACTATTTTAAATGATTATTATCAGCAACTGATAGGCGAATGTTTTTCACTTGGTTGATTAGTTGATTTCTTTCCTTTAATTAGTTTGTAATTATTTTCGAAAATGAACTTCATTATTAAAGTTTTATAATTATTTCCTTTTCTTTTGATTTCTTCTGTTATAGTGGTATCATATCAAACAATTATTTTCCCTATTTAAGAATGAATAATTATCAAGCACCATTAGTTGCTGTACAACTCTCCAATATAACAAGAAATACTGTTGTCCTAGTTGAATGTCGTTTGGTTGGTTTAAAAAATTCCATCGGTGGAACAGGTTTTGAAGTTTGTGTTGATGACAAAGATTCAGGAAAATAAATTACACTTTAATCTATTGCAAAACATAACATCTTTTTTAAAAATCTGTTTTTATTATTAAAAAAAGAAAATAATTATATCGTTTATGTATGTTCGATTTATGTGTTCCTTAATATTTTTTTATCTTAAGAAAACACACATCTACTTTAGCCTCTTTAGGATATTCTTCAGTTTACTTTCTAAATTTGAAAAACGTATTATCTTTTGGTTCTTTTTTGCTCTTCACATTGATAATTAAACCAATCATTCATAGTGCTCATTATTATTAGTATTAATTATACTATACAGTATAATCAAATACTGTTTAATTTATACTATTACAACCACTAACACTGTCACTTCTAGTGTGAACCTTTAACTAACTTTTCTTACGGTTAAATAAATTTTCAAAAATTAAGTTTCAGGTGCCTTACATTTTAATTATTTTATGATTGAAACATTCTCTAAGTTTTCTTCCCATTCTATGTCTTCTTGTTTTCTTTAATTTTTTTTCTCAACAATTATGGAGGGTAACAATAAAAAAAGATGATGGTGAAAAGGAGGAGAAGGAGGAGGGTGTTTACTGGATAGTTTATTTATTCGTTTTATAATTTGGACATATTTAGTGTCCTTATTATCAATTTCATTATTATTATTAGATTTAATATATTTCTGTAACATGAATACATATATAAATGTTATACAACTAATGAAAACTCTGTTAATTAAGTATATAATAGATTATTAGTAGATGTAGCCAAATGTATTTACAGTAAAACAAATATATTTAATAGTATATTAATATTGTAACCAATACTATTACTACCACTATTTTTATTAGTACTATTATCACTACTAATACTAATACTACTAATACTACTACCTATATTTTTACTATTCATATTGATAATATACGATTCTTAACGTTTTGTTTACGATTATAATTGAATTGAAACTATCTTGAAAAATTAAGTTAGTTCTATTTTATATTGATAAAATAGTGTTTATGTGCATGACTATGAATTTTTGGAATGAAATTAGGATTTTCAAATGGTGTCATTTGACTATTTGTCCTAATTTGAAAGTGGAAGTTATGAAATAATCATAATACATTTTCGTCATCTTATTAAATATTTATAAATTATAAAAAATAAAGATTTACTATGTTTAACATATTCGATAGAATAGTCTATACTTAAAAAAAGGAAACCTTTTTATGATTGTCTAGTAGTGAAATCCAGTAGGTTGTGTTGTTTCACATTTATCTAATCCAAATCTTTATATGTTTAGATTATTACATAGTTAACATAGATAATCAATAAACCTTACTAACATTATCATATACCGTCATATTGTATGAAATGTTTTCGATCTATCATAAGTTAATGAAATACCTTATTGATTGATTATCTATTAAATGATTTAAATGAATATCACCAAGGTTTATCGGCTTATAAGATGGCTGAAGGAAAATATAAAGAGGTTTAACTACTACTACTACTACCACTACTACAAAATCAACTGCTGGAATGAACAAAACTAGTGACCATTTCAAAAATTATATGAAGTTTATTCTCAACAGCAACTATCTCTAATCTTGTAAGTTTCAGCTACGGCATCGACAACTGTATAGTTGGATTTCAGTACTGTTCAGAATATTACGTATCATTTTACACTTATTCTCAAATTTAACGTGTGATTTTTGATGGCTAAGATCGTGCAAAACAGGCTCTATTTATTTTACGTAAGTTATTTTCGTATGAGACGAATGAACATTAGGATTTAAAAGTACCTCGAAATCAACCTACTTACAAATCCCACAATTTATGAGACTCTAAGTTAACAGATTAACCATAATGTATCCTTACTTCATACTACCCAAGCTCTCTTCAAGGTATTTATGGATATAGGTAATGGCTCCGTAACTCACATCTATATTATTTAGAGAGAATGAAAATGGCTCAGATTAAAGTTCTCTCCGTGTGACCATTACCTACAGAACTCTCCATAGGTCTGAAAAAATACTTTATCGATATACGATACCTAACAATGAACATTCGAGGAGAAACAAGTAAAATAACCATATGTCACACTAATTATAGAGAAGGTCTAGCTGAAATCGATGAAGAAAAGTATTAATGTTGGTAAATTTCCTGGTTAGACACTACCGATTATCTTAAAAGGAGGAGAATAGCAGGAATAATCTACAATCTTAACAGTAATTTTTATTATTTACTACTGTTATTTATTGCTTTCGATGTTAAATTTCATTTTCTACACAACAAGCTGTCAGGTCTTCCGAATATTTCTTGGTTTCTTTTGAATATAATATTTTGTCTTGTTTTGTTGAATAGATTCAATGATTTTATAACTGATTATTGTGAACTTAGTTTTGCTTTACTAATGAATCATCTGTTCACGATTTGACTTATTGATTCAAATAGGAGACTTAAAGAAAAATAAAGTCAATTACTTGCGTTCATTGTTTGACTAGAACTAAACTATCACTAATATTGATAATAGCTTTATTTGAAACCTTAAGTTTTGTTACAGTAAGGAACCGTCAGTACTAATTGTACAATGTTACAACAAATATAAGTTAATTTATATATTTTTACAGCTAGAAAATAGGTAGCTCAACTGTTCCAGCACACTACTGAGAGTTTCAGATATTATCAGGAAAAAACGTTGATAAAAATGATACTTTTTTCAACAAAATTCAATCATCACAAAATATGTTTTAGATAATAAAATAGGTTTTCAGCTGCTTATTCGTGAAGCATTCATTGTTTAAATTACCAACGCAAAGAATTTCTTTTCTGTGGGATTACCAATCCATTCATATGTTACTTAGTCTTGTATGTAGTAAGCTAACATTTAATTGGCCCAACAATCACATTTTTGACTGTGAATAGAAAATTCTAAATGAATAACACAACTGGAACCCAAATGATCAAAAATGAAACGTATGGCTAATGACAAATGTTTTCTTATCTCAACTCAGAGTTTATTGATGAAATGGAACACTTAAGTCATTTTCAAGCCAGCAAATTTTAAATAAACTCGAAATATGTTTAAATATTTGCTTATCACTGTTCCTTTTGTCAGTAATAAAGCTTCTGTAACACCGAAACTTGGATGTTTGTTATCCAACTTATGATTTCTACGAAAATGAGATTTAAAGACATTCATATGCGAATAAAGTTCTTCACAAATTCCTGAATATTTTCTAAGCCGACTGATAGAAAAGTTAGTCAATTTCATATGAGTTATAAATGAATTTCATCATACATAAAATAATTAAATTGACCTCCTTTATTATGAAATTTAAAAAAAAATAGTTTCAATACATAGTAACTAATCCATGATTTATTTATCATGTGACTGAACGAAAATTTTCACCTTAACTATAAACATGATTTCTAATCGCAAAATTCATAATGCTTAGTAGTTAATACTTAGAGGACGCATATATATAAATATATACATATATATATGATTTCCGGCAACACTTGATGATTTGTTTAGCTGCATAAGGTCAAAATATGGCTCGTTATATTGTCAATGGTTTTAATGTAAATCACTGCTAGTGATTCCACACAATAAAACAAAACTTGCACGCATGTATGTATATATATCCAACATCACTGACGTGTTTGTAATAATCACACATCGAATTTGTTCACACTTTTTGTAAAGTAAAGCAACAATAAAAAATTCTTATATTCATTGTGAGAGTCCATTGAAACACAGAGTTATTTTTAATCAAGGTTCGAGTACCCAGTTTCACAATAGTCAGAATTCATTTATGTGTATATATGATGACTAAAATAACAGGAATCTGTTGTTTCTCCTATACTTATGCTGATGATTGTGATTATATCTTTTCATACTTTGGGAAAAAACAGTTATCTCATATGAAATCATCAGGGCCAATGAATTTATCAAGTCAATCAGATTAAAACTTCACATTAATTTTTGAGATCTTAGTTTCCATAAACTTAGTTTTTGAAGTCTTCTCAATATGGTAGTAGGGATTATTGAGATTTTTAAAATTTATTTTAGGAATTTAAAAAAAATGTTATGTTCATGAGAGGTGACTTCATTTGCATTATATTGACAGAAATGCAGACATTTACTCAAAATATATAGTTATATAAACCTTCTAAAATAAATGAAGTGGAGTTTACAACAATCAATAATTTAGAAATATTATAAATTGTTAGTGTGAAAGCTTTTTCAATGTATTTCTCACTTAGAGATCAAACACTACTTTACTTTTCGTAAAAACATAAAGTGTTTATACTAAATACGAGCTTACAAAACTGTAATTGTCCACATCTTACGAAAGAATACAAAAACTTGTCTTTTACAAATGAATCTTTACTCTATCTACCATTAATGTACAATTTATCCATAAATATATAGTTTTGCAAATAGCCCTGAAAAAAAAACAGAACAAATAAACACAATAAATGATAGCGATATTTGTTATGGACAACACAGATTTTCAGCTCCTAGATGAATTTCCTAGCTTAATAATGAACGTTCATACAGCATATAAAAAGCTGTGATTTATAGGAATGTTGTTTCTAAAGAGACATATATATATATAGTTATTTTCAGTTTCATTTATTTATTCTTTTAGATGTATCATTCGAACATTCATTATAGTATTTATAAGAAGAAACCATTGAACAAATTTGTATTGAACTATCCAGGTGAATTTGTCCAAGTTTACCTCCAAAATCCTAGAAGTAAGAAATGTTACGATAAAGAAATATAAAATTACAGTTCATCGAGATTCAAAAGGTATTCATCCTAACTACTATCCTATAAATTCGATTATTGTGAATCTTCTCTTTCACTAAATCTTACATTGTGTAACATGTATTTAATAGGAACTACATAAAAAAACCTTGAAGTTGTTCAATCAATTATAATAGGATATTCTGTATGTTCATTGTTTGACTCAACTAGATACTTATGAAAGCCCATTAGTATTCATCAAAAATATACTG